GGAATTACGTTTTGGGGAGGGGTTATCACAAAATTTTTGTTCTTTTTACAAATCGGAAACAGAAATTTTGAGAAGATTATGTTTCTTTTGGAATGGAACTTGAGAAGTTAGCGCGTTTAGCTTATCCTGAATATCCTTTTTCGGTTCGTGATAAAATTTCCTGTGCGCAATTTGTATCGGCGATTTCGGATAATTTTGTGAAGGCTTTACAATTGGAAGGGATAATGTTATTGAGAAAAAGAGCCTCGTAAGCAGAAACTTCATGTTAAATACAATAACATACAGCAATTAAATACTTCATGTTAAATACCATAAAAACTATGAAAGAAAAAATTGACATGTATATAAAAGTTATATGAAAAGAAGAAAGTAGGATTTTAAATGTATAAGGAGTAGGATAGAGGAATAATCAATGAACGCAAAAAATAGGAAAATGCGATAGAGGACTAGAGTTTAGATGGACTACTGAGCTCTGACTAATAAAATCTTATCAGAAGTAGAAGAAGGTAGGAAAAGAAAAAATTAGGTAGAGATAATAATATGTTAGAGAATTTAGGGATTAAACATGGACTCAATGATATATACAACATTTTATTTGTAAACAAAGTAAAACAGGGAAAATAGGGTTAGAATTAGTAATGAAATGATACTATATTAATATATTAATGATAAATAATTATTTGTTACGCTCTGATTCTACCAGACATTCTAAATGTGATTTAGAAAATAGAGAACAACAAACATTGTTGTGTATAAAAATAAATATATTTTAAAATCAAAACAACTGTATTTTAATTTAAAAGAGAAAGGCAAAACAAGAAAATTGTTATAACTTGGATATCAGCGCAAAGTGATATTAAAGAGATAACAAATTAACGAGGAAAACAACAGGAGAAACATCAAATAGTGACATTAATATCCTAATTAAAGACTTCCGGAGCTATCGTTAAAAAAAATAGACAAAATTTTTTATTGTAAATGTTCTACATAGTCTCGATATCAATGCAGTATTTAAAATCTTCGTATAACTATTGAACGCTATCTGAAAATGCTTCTTGTGAAATTCTGTTCAGTTCTTATGTGACATTGGCTTGAATGTCTTCAATGTTGTTGTAACCTTTCATGTGCAACTTAAGGAGGGAGAGCATTATAGAACGCTAAAAATAAGGGAATTTTCGTGAACTTTTTTTGAAGAATTTACTTATCCAATCGCTTCCAAATGCTTCCCAATTTTTTAGTGCTTTTGCTTGTACATTAAAGTATTAAAAAAAATATTTTTAAATTAAGAAAAATGTTTATAAATTGTATATTATCAAAGAAATGTTGCGGCAGAATCGGCGCAAAACGGCACTCTGATTCCTATTGTATTCATTTGAAACAAAAATAGGAAAAATTTTTTACTCTTTATAGATATAATTTATCGATGAACCTAAAACAGTTGAAAAAGAATTTTGTAATTAACAAAAAAGCAGCTCTTGAAATAAAAATTCGATTTCCACTCATAAAAATCCATTTTTATATATGCAAAAACATTGTTTAAATAATTTTATGTTGTTTAAAATAATTTTATTTGTTTAAAATAATTTTATGAGTTTTATAAGTTCATCGACTAGTAATTATAATAAACTAAATGTATATAAAAGGATAATTCGATTGGTCAAATATAGTTTTTGATTATCAATTAAAAATATAATTCTTGCACAATTTGAAAAAAATCGTTTCGAGAAAAACGCGTTAAAGTTTTAGGTATAGACAATTATAAATTTATAGTTGTTTTCTACTAATCTGCTTCCTGGCTCATAAAGTAAACCTTCCGTTTTTTCGAATAAGTCATTCTGTTTAATTTGTTGTTGTTTACTAGCTGCCTGAGCCTCTTTATTATTACTTAGGCTGCGGCGCTCCTGTCTCATTATTTGCTCGGCGTCCTTACTATCAGCATATATTAGGACCTTAACTTAGTTTCCGCCCAAAAAATACTGAGAAAAAGCATTTATTGTAAGAAATTTATTTAAATTATTTCAATGAAAGTATTTTCCATCACTTTCTACAACTTTTTGCCATCTTTCTGGCAACTGGGCGATACCATCTCGATAAAACGATGTTTGTTTCGAAGCAATCCATTCGTCCACCCATTCTCGCACTTCTTCAACATTTCGGAAGCGTGTACCACTCAAGCCGTGCTGCATCGATCTGAACAAGTGGTAATCAGAAGGCGCTATGTCTGGTGAGTACGCT